TATAGGGACATACTTATGGATGGGAGAATATATTCTATAAATTCTCGTATATGGCGAAAATGGGTGATTTGCATACGGTCATATCACCCTGAAACACCTGATCCCGTGCGATGAACGAAGATAAGCAACGTTGATTCTGGTCAATACCTTGATTGGTGTAAGTTTGGATATGCGGGTGGTGCACTGGAAAAGCACGGAATAGTTATCTGGAGATCCGAGTCCCAAATCCCTTTTTTGTATTTTATATTCACTTACGCGAAAATACTCTTGTGAAAGGATATGAATCCTCTTCTTTTCCCCCTGCTATGGGTTAATTAGCCTTATTTAACCTCAGAAGTGTTGATATGCCGTATAAATCGAAAGAATCAATAAAACAATATTTTCCAGAAACTGCAACAAATGTCCGCTTAGCATAGTTGCTGTATAAAACTTAGCGAGCTCTGTGAATAGAGCGGCGTAATAGGGTGTGGCTAGTCGTCCTAACAATCGGGTGTTAACAGAAACGAGTACCCGGCCATTATATGTATGCATGTATATTTATTTTCTAAGCTTATCTTAGATGTAGCACACGCTCTAAAATATGGGCGACCTAGTAAGTATCGGACTCACTACTAGCGAGATAAGCTTGCTAAACGTTACACAACGTTAAGATTCATATGTATATCTGTATGTATGGATGCTTACAAAATCACAGATATATTTTATTTATTTTTTTGTATTATATTTTCTAAAATCATATAAAGTCCGTATACATGCGCACACAAGGCGAAAGGTAATTCCATTATGGCGGTCTTCTAGATAAAATTTTGAATCACTTCTTTAACTGCCTTATCGTTCTAATGACGTACATGCGTAAAACAGATTAGGCTTAATACTCGATGTAAAATAAAAGAAACACATACACGCATACGTGATTTTCTGGATAAGGGTTCAGGTGCTTGAAGATGTAAAAGCAAAAATAAAATATTTAAATCTCACAAATTCTCATTAGGTCACGTTCAACGAGATTTTCGTATTAATGCTGTGTGGTATTTGCTTTTCCTTTCTTTCATTTATATATATATATATATATATATATATATATATATATATATATATATATATATATATATATATATGAAACAATTTTGAACCAGTGGCTTCATTAGGTTCTAACGAATTCAGAAAACCTGGCTTTTTTGCTGTATGTTTTATGAAAAAGACGTTGAAATTCATTTACCGGTTACTTGCTTCTCGCATACACAAATGGATAAGTTAATGCGTCGATTATTGATATCCACATGTGGGCAAAATATGTCGAACGGTCGATTAAGTTAAATCTAAACGTTTTCTGCATGAGAAGGTCTCTCTCTCTCTCTCTGTGTGTGTGTGTGTGTGTGTGTGTGTGTGTGTGTGTGTGTGTGTGTGTTACGTCTTGCTAATTTTACTCAAAATGTCGAGGTCAACCTGTGGTAGAGATTTCAATCACGTCCCAAAGTTGCCACACGGTGGGTCCGTCTCCGCAGGTGATGTTATCATGTAGCCAGTTTCTTTTGACAAATAGGCTATGCTAAGATTCGAACAAGAGTCTAATGATCGAATTATTAACTTTCTAACTACTCGCCCACTATGTATAATAATAATAATAACAATAATAATAACAACAACAACTTTTACGGAAAGGGAACACAACACAAACCCGGTAACTATGATAGGATCTCTAAAAATTTTACGAGATTTACAAGAACAATCAGAACAATCAAAACTTATCGCCGAGACATCATGATTAAAGATCACAAACACAAAATGTGTCTTCTTATTGACATGGCAGTCTCTGTAGTGCGTAATGTATCTTTGAAGAGCTTCAAAAAACTATCAAAATAAAAGGTCCTTGAAATCGAAATCTCAAAAATGTTTGGCACATGAGGGCATCCAGGAAATTCCAGTTGTAGTTGGAGAACTCGGTTGATTGGAAAATGTTTCCATAAAGTCAGTGAAATACGCTTTTCGCCATAAAGAAATGAAAAAAAAATTGTACTCTCAAGTACAGCTCACATCTTACACAGTGATTTATCAATGTAAAATATGTGTGATCTTAGTTTATTTTTTTTTTTAAAAAAAAAAAAAAAATGCCATATCATTTCAATCTCTGGTTGGGACCCGAAATAAATAAGGAGTATACAGAAATATCATTTAAATCAAAACAGAAGCCAAGAACCAACTATTGCAGCAAAAGATATGAAAAGAAAGCCAAGGATAAAGCCCTTGAACAGATGAAACAACGCTGGCAAACAAACCTCTGCATGGCCAATATCCAGACAGAAATCAAAATACTCATCGATGGTTAAGCATCTGGATTAAAATGAAATAGGCTTTATTCTTGCAGCGCAAGACCAGAGTCTTTTTCACTAGGATTTTCAGGCAAATAATAATAATGTGGATCCAAAAATGGACAAATACCAAGAAACAATAGACCATCTAAAATGTTCTAATGCCCCCAAATGAATATAAAATCGTCACGATAGAGTGGGGCAAATAACTGGACAATGTGCAAACACTTTGGAAAATGTGTAAGCAAACAATGAACATAAGCGCCGGTTACAGAAATAGAAGATGTCAATTCTATGGGATTATACCATTTTAGGCCGGAAATTGTCAAAAACCAGACTGAAATTTAGCAACCAAGGAATTTGAAAAACTATCAAAATACAAAGACCTGGAAATAGAAATAGAAAAAATGTGGAAATTGAAAACAGAATAATACCAGTGGTTACTTGGAATTATAAAAATGGAACAAAACAACACACTGAAAGAATCCCTGGAAACCCCAGCTTAAGAGAAATGATTATCTAAAAAAAAAAAAAAAAAAAAAAAAATTAACATGAAATGTATAACAACACACCACGACCTGCCTTAGGTCTTTCCGCAGACTTGGTAGAAATCGAATGATGATGATACAATAATTATAATAATAATAATAAAATAATAATAATTAATTCCTCATTTTAGAAATACAGACTGAAATTTAATTATCATACATTCAGATTAGGAAATGATTATCAAGACTATACCAAATAAATTTAAATTTTGTTATAAAGCTTCTAAAAAATAATGGATTTTCTTTATTAATCCAACTCATATCCATCACTTTTAATAGTATTTTAATGGCTCTCCATATTTGCATAAATGTTCAACTTATGTTAAACAGTATACACCATTGGGCAAATTAATTGAAACAACCGCTTTAAATCATTTCTTTAATGATACGGTCAGTGTGAAACCCGCTGGAGTGACAGGGTGTAATCAATTTCTATTTATTCCTCACATGAGGTCATTTGCAATGGGGTACAGTAATATGAATCTATTTTCCGAGTGTATGATGAAATTTGTTTGGCCTTAAAAAATATTGCGCCATCCGTGATTGCATCAGATTTTCATCAAACCCAGACACTATTGTCTAGATTGTCGAGTAGTTCTCCTACGGACATTGTCTGTGATGGACGTTACTCCAAGGAAGCGTAATAAACTTGTAACGCTGTACGAACACACTGGCAAGCCTTACGAGTGAGCAAATCAAAGTACTACAGACTAGCCTGAAAATTCTCCTGATTTAAATACAATCGATAATCTCTGGTCAATTTGCAAGGAGCAACTTTGTAGAATAGACATACGAAGTACTAACATATGCAAGGGGTGATGTTTCATTGGAAATATATGAAAAAAAAGTAAATAATAACTGAATTATGTGTTTAGTTTCGATTAATTTGGACAAGTATTTATTTATTTTCCTCTACCACTCTGAATATTTAACAAATCTTATTAAAAATATGATGCACCCTCCGAAAGATTTTAAACCTGAGTCCCTATTTGCAGGAGAAACCAACATTAGATTCGATTGTTTTAAACCGATTAAGCTACAAAGAGCGTCGCCGATCAAGCGTAGCTGAATCTGCCTTCTTTTTAGCGCATCTTTCCTTTTTTTTTATATTCCTGGAATTTCATAACTGCTTAGTTTCGAACCCGAAACGTAAACAAAGTAATTTCTCAAGATGTAATGGATTATTTCATTATTAATCCAACAACTTTTTATCACAGTGAACGATATTTTAATGGATACCCACATTTGAATAGATGTTCTGTTCATTTGAAACAGTACATTCATTTTCGTCTACCGGTCTGAATATTTGCGAAATATTATTAAAGAAAAACATGTGCACTCCGGCAATATTTGAACGCGCGTCCACATTTGAGGAAGAAAACATCGTTAGAGCCAAAGCGTTTTTAACTGACTCGGTCATGAGGGGCGTTATCGATCAAGCAAGGCTGAATACCTAAAAGAAAAAAAAAAGGATCAATTCACGAGATGGATATGACCTTTGGTATTAGAATGTTTTGAACTTATTTTTTTCGGATTAAGATGAAGAGAAAGAAAGGATATTCGATCAGATCCAGATACACAGATGGTAAAATCAATAACTCTTAACTCCAGACGTCCACTGTAATATTACATAATATCTCCCCACGGCCACCATTTTCTAATTTCCTGTCCACCTTATACAAAGATTATCCAAGCCTTTAACGCTCAAACAAAATATAACTTTCATCCACCCGTTCTCAAATATTTTGGATAATTCGTTTGCAGTTTATTTTTGTTTTAATTTTTCTCTTAAAAATTCAAGTTCATTAGAATTTGTTTTTTAATTCAATATCCACAAACCTTACGTGACCAAGTCTGCAGACTTCGTTTTATATTGCTAAATACTTCTACCCAGCCACCCCTAAGATAACGATGTCCCACCCATAACATCTGTCATCCAAAGAATGGACACTCGATTTTTATCATTTTATGACTGGGTTTGATCTTTTAAATTTTGCAAACATTTTTTTTTCATCTCATTAAAAATGTCTATAGAATTGCAACGCTCATAAATTTGCATAACCAGTTAAATCAGAACTCTGTTCCATTCTGCTCTTCCCCCATACTGTACCCGTTACCCTTGTCTGTTCCTAGTAACCCTCAGTTTCTAATAAATCTCTCTCTCTCTCTCTCTCTCTCTCTCTCTCTATCTATCTATCTATCTATCTATCTCTATATATCTCTCTATCTCTCTCTCGTGTGTGTGTGTTAGTGTGTGTATGTTAGTGTGTGTGTGTGTTAGTGTGTGTGTGTGTGTGTGTTAGTGTGTGTGTGTATGTTAGTGTGTGTGTGTTAATTTGTGTGTGTTAGTGTGTGTGTGTGTTAGTGTGTGTTAGTGTGTGACAAGGCATCGTATCGTTTCGTCTGGAGACTTCAGAAAAGATTATCGGACAGTCTTGTTCGCAATATAGTTGGCAGGCTTTTCTCAGAAATACATCTGACGCTTAGTGAATGCTAATATTCTTATCGAAGAACAAATGAATGGCGTTCATATATTTGTTCATTTTTAAATATTCGCGTAAGAGTTTTTTTTTTTCTTTGTCTTTTTGAGACAAAAAAAAATATTGAAAATGCATTTTTCCTAAATTTGCATGATCAATAAACCCCAATAGCAAAGGCTGCTTCGATTCTATTAACTGTTGTTTGAATAACTCCTACCCGGTTCAAATCGACTAAAAGTGTAATTTATGAACGTTTTATTCTTACATTTTTTTCACCCATTATTTTTCTTCGGAGTTCTATTTTTATTTCTTCATTCATTATTTTACTCATTCTTTTTTCTTATTCATTTTCTTTCTTGCCTTCTTTCTTTCGTTTCGTCCGTTTTGTTATTCGTTCACTTTCTTCTTCTTTACGTCGTCCATTCTTTCTTTTGTTTGTCTTTTAAGGTTTTTGAATAAGAATTTTCTTTCTTTCTTTCTTTCTTTCTTTCTTTCTTTCTTTCTTTCTTTCTATACGTTTTTCATCTTGCATTGTTTTAATATCTTTGTTTCTTCATTTCGTTTCAAAAGTCTTTCTTTGAATACTTGTTTCTGTCTTTTGCTTTATTTCTTCACTTTTTTTTAATCATTTCACCCCAAGCCAGGCGGGAAAGCCACTTGTATTTAGGGGTTTACAAGGAGTGAAAATGAGAGAAAAGACTCAGTATAGATGGGATGGAAGAAAGGACAAAGGATGAACAGCATTCAAAAAGAAAGAAGTTGGCGATTGACGCATTTAATTTAATATGGTTTATGTTTCACTTCAATCCTTCCTTCCTTCCTTCCTTCCTTCCTTCCTTCCTTCCTTCCTTCCCGATTTCTTTCTTTCTTTCTTTGTTTTTTCCTTCCATCCTTTCTTTTTTCCTTCCTTCCTTCCTTCCTTCCTTCCTTCCTTCCTTTCCGTCTTTCTTTCTTCCCTTTTTCCTTCTTTCTTTCTTTCTTTTTTCCTTCTTTCTTTCTTTCTTTCATTTTTTCCATATTTCGTTCTTTCTTTCCTTCTTTCCTTACTTCTTTCTTTCTTTCCTTCTTTCTTTATTTCCTTCTTTCATTATTTCGTTTCTTATATCTTTCGTTCTTCCTTTTTTTCATTCCTTCATTCTTTCCTTCTTTTGTGTATCTTTCGTTCACTATTCTTTCTTTTTTTTCATTTGTTATTTTTTCGGTCAATCATATCACGTCTTCTTTATTGTTTTTTGTTGTTGTTCAATCCTACTCTCTCTCTTCTCTCTCCCTCTCTCCCCCCTCTCTCCCTCTCAAGTTTTACTTTTGGTTTCTGCAAAGATTTGCTATCTAAAATATGCTTGAAATTTTCCAATGGAAATAATAACAGCTAGAATATAACACGAAAAACAAGTGTAATAAAAAGAATCAGGAAGGCAAACAAATCCTTGAAAATAATGGAAGAATCATTCCTTTTAACAATGACTCTAGTCTCACTTTTCGCTTATTTCATTCATTTGATTACACATAATATGGACGTTTGGACACAAACTTGCCGTCCAAGGTGAAAACTCTTGACTTCTAATTTGTTTTTCTCTTTATTCTTTAAAAAAACTTTCTTTATAACTACCTCTTTTTATTAATGTTTACTTTTAATATAAAAAGTTTAAACATTGCTTTTTCTAGATTTTTTTTCAAAATTTAGTACTGTCTAATTTCAATGTCCAGTTCATTGTTGAGAGAAGCAAATATCTCACCCCTGTCTTGTCAAAATATCACAAAACTTGCCCCCTCTATTGACACTGAACACTTATTCAAAACAGATAATTCTTTTAATTTTTCCCCGTTTTTTTTTTTTTTTTTTTCTAATATTTCCATTTTTCTTTGTGCAATCCCTTGTCTCTGGTATATGGGGCTGAGTTAATTCCCTTTACCACAATCACGAGACTGCCTTTGGCAAACCGCCCAGTGATCTCGTGGTTGTCTGGGGAATCAAGCTTAAAAAATAAGTTTAAAAATATTCAAATTTTTCTGTTTTTTGTGTTTTTTATTAGTTAAATTTAATTTAATCTATTTAAAATAAAATGCAAATTCGTTCATCTCTCTATGTCTCTTTCTCTCATGGAAGAATTTAAATTAAATTTTATTAAACTAAAAAACAGAGTACAGGAAAAACGGATGAATGAAAACGATGATAATGATAAATGAAATTTAAATTTCAAAACGAAATATCTTAAGAAGTTATGGTAAAGCAATTGAGTGACAATCTCAGAAATGAGGAAAAATATCGAAACGAAAAAATGGTTAAAAATAAGGAGACGATGAAGAGGTCAGGAAATATCAAAGAATTTCATGCCTGAAAAAGTAGCGATGCAGACACAAAATAGGCAGAAATACAAGGAAATGAAAGAAACAAATATGAAAGTAACAATGCAATGTCTGAAAATTTATGGTTGTAGTTTCTATACTTTCAGCTTTACTGGTTTTCCAAAGATTTTTTAAAAATCACGCGCACATATAAGCAAATCTACTTCATAACGTCCATATCTGTTTTTTTTACTGAGAGTTAAACTTTGTTTTATATCTGGTATTGGGATTAATTATTTTATACTGTTTTCACTGTCATTTCTCATGGTGATATATGAGACATATGAATCATTTAACGGGATATTATTAGAACAGTAAATGAAATGAGCAAAGAGTTTCATTCGATTGTATGTCCTCTGTCCGAGTTTGTATTTGCTGTTGTGCGTTCTGCTTCCTCTGAGCTTTTGTTAACCGTAAAAACAGTTGAAGAGGGTATGGAAATCACGCCAAAGAATATTCGACGAGATATAGGAGACTGAATCTACTCAATGTCCTTCTTGACATTTTCTACTTCCACTGTTCTTTTCTCTTCTGATAACATTCCTTTTATATTTTGATTTTCTTTTGATAGCTTTGTTAGTTGTCTTTTTTCCTTCTCTCTTTATTATTCAATCCGTTTTATTCCGTTATTTCTTTTCTTTTTATAATCTTTATTTTTCAAAATGAGTTCCTTCGTTTCATTTATTCCCCTTTCAACTAATACTGACCTTAATTTTTTTTAATTTTTTGTCAGTATTTTCTACACGTTTTATAGGATTTATATGGAACCTACGAATGGAATAAGAATTAGCATTCTGGCTTTCATTGTTAATGAATAGTGAATTTGATCTCTCATGGGTGCCCCGTATTTATGACCTAATGGTTAATACTATTTAATTACTACAGCCATTATTTAAAATATACTAAACCCCTTTTCCTGTAATTTATTTTCTTATATTAAGCGTGTACAAACATTTCCAACAACAAAACAGTTATCAGTTGTATAGTCTGACACTAGAAATTGCAAGTAGCATGCCGCTCATCGGCATAGAAAATGGAAGCGAGGAGAAGGATTCAAATTCTAACCTAGTCTGTTGCGTTCAATTTCACAAAAATTTCTGGTTAAATATCCTGGGCTTTCTGACCTTGGGTGGCTACCGGTGTATTGAATTGTATTATGAGTTACAAAAGTTAGACAAAGCAACGGAAATCCACTCAGTTAATAGTCATTCCAATTCACAGTTAATAAAAAAGGAAAGAGTAGAGAGCCACGACCCTGTAACTCTCAAGAGTCTATGTATTATAAAATAATTAATAATTAATAATCTATATAACGCTACGTATAAAAACGTCAGATAGAGTATATCTGCAAAGAACAATGAGAATAAAGATAAAAGTTAAACTTATCTTAGCCGACGTGTTTCGTCTTCTGAGGAACGTTATCAAGGCAAATGTAACGATTTTATTTCGCGACAAGTATTTATATACAAGAGCAAAAATATTTGTTTTTCAATATTTATATATATATATATATATATATATATATATATATATATATATATATATATTATTATTATTATTATTATTATTAAGAAACAGACAGTACTTTAAGGTATCATGATGACAATAATTTATATACCCGTGTGTGTGTGTACTCGCGTGTGCGTGTGTGAGCGCGCGCGTGTTTTTGCGCGCGTGTGTGTAACTGTGTGTGTGTGTAACTGTGTGTGCGTGTGTAACTGTGTGTGCCCGTGTGTGCGTGCGTGCATGTGTCTGTGTATATTTAGCCAGTATATCTTAATCTAAACATGTTTGTTTGAATAATCTCGATATAATATGTATTTTGGTTTTACTTTAATCCTCTCAAATTTGAGAGGATTTAAATGAAAATAAATAAAATTAATATGTCGAGATTATGCAACCACACACACACACACACACACACACACATATATATATATATATATATATATATATATATATATATATATATATATTGAACTCTATCATAATGAAATGTATCCCCTTATATCCATGCACTTGTCTGACTTTTCCATTAACTTGACTATTCATGAGCGCCGCTATACAAAAAATTTCGAAAAACCAATACTTTTTTGCTCTTATATATAAATACTTATCCGAAATAAAATACTTGCAGTTGTCTTGATAAAGTCCATCAGAAGACAAAACACATCGCCTAAGATAAGATAAAACAAATACCATGATTTAATATTAAGTACCTTGGAAAGAATCTGAAAACTTCAAGTCAACTTTCGAATTTTAAACTCGTCTGAATATTTGATGTTTGTATATAATGTTTCGAGTAGTCATTCCACAGTTCCGTACTTATTTCAAAAACGTCTTTAACATTCAGAGTTCGTTGTGAAAAACCTAATTTCTCTATGCTGATGATATTTGTAAGCACCTCGCCGACAATGGCGTTAAGAAATTGCCCGAACATAGACTTAGCAAGCATTACCAATACAACTGATATATGTTTGGGCATATATCCATGATGACCGGGGCGTGTCACCTATCATTAAATGACCTCTCGTAAACTCTAGAACGTTACTCTATCATCAGAGTTGTTTCAACCTGAAGGCACATTCCATATCAGTGTAATTTTTCATCAGCATGGTTGCTTCATTCCCAGCTCGCCCTTCTGTTCAGGTGCCAATAACATTGCAGATTTTTCTTTGGATTTTGTCAAGAATCTCTAAATATACAGCAGATGCACCAGAAGAGATATGGCATCATTATTCAAAGAAAAGTCGGATATTAAAATTATAAATATGTAAGATAGATTCTGACATGAAAATTGTTTAGACTGACAACAACATTCATAGCTGCAGATTTGACAATTGATTAGATATAATCATCCGGGGTCATATCTGTGGAAAACGTTCGCACAAGAAGGCACAGTGAGTAGATCTCCTGGAGATTAGCATCAGCCATGATATTGGAATGCAGAAAGCGCGATCCAGTGAACCAACTCTTCTAGCAGCAAACGTAACAATTGATTCAATATCATCATACCGCTTTATGTCAACGGAAAACGGTTTCCCGAGTAGGCGCATGTCAGGGAAAATCTTAGTTCGAGAAGGAGCAATGAGACAGTCTCCTGGAGTTTAGCATCAGCCATTCTAATGGAAGGCAGAAAAGACTATCCTGAGAATCAACTCTCCTAGCAACAAACCTAACAATTGATTCAATATCATCATACCGCTTTATGTCAACGAAAAGCGGTAGCCCAAGAAGGCGCATGTCAAGGGAAAACCTTATCCAAGAAAGCGCAATAAGTCAGTGTTCTGGGGGTTGGAATCAGCCGTTCTAATGGAAGGCAGGAAAAAGCCATCCAGTGAACCAACCCTTCTAGCAGCAAACCTAACAATGGATTCCATATAATCCTCCCGCTTCATGTCAGCGGAAAACGGTAGCCGAAGAATTCGCAATGAGTCACGATCCTGGAGGTTAGCAACAGCCATGCTGATGGCGGGTAAAAATGGTTCACTCAGATGATTAAAAGGGAACAGTTTCGTTTTAGTGGCATTCAATTTACCTTTGTGCGAACGATGGAGGTGATTGTCAGCTTAGTGTCACAGGAAGAAAAAAAAAATAGTTGATTGCTCCGTCACCTATATCACCGATATTTTGCTACAACGATATGTACCCGACCTCCAACTAAACTAAAACGTGTTAGCAACGTTGCAAAAAATGTTCCGTTTTAGTTGTGAATCACACTTTGTAAAGTCAGGAAAAATGGCTTTGTAAGTGATCAGGAATAAGAGTTATTGAGAAACAAATGCTATAATATTAAAACATAACCAAATGCTAGAATAGGTACTAATTTAAAGCATTATTTTATATTGAATAGCCATGACTATTTTTTTGGTTTGTCATTCAGATTTAGTTTCGGTTTACTTTGTTTCGTGTCATATCGACAACAATGGGTTAATGAATGCAGAAAAGATTTTTAGGATAGATTCGTATGAACAGAATGTGTATTATTTATAAGTCAGTTTGTTGATCAGGTTTCATTGACGTATTTTTGTAAAGAGGATTTTTTTCCACTAATGTATTGCAATATATGTTTTTTTTCAAAAATGTGTTGCTGGTAATGATTTTTTGTTAAATGTATTGCTCGTAATATTTTTTTCAAAAATAGATTGCTGATATATTTTTTTTTTCAAAACTGTGTTGCTGGTAAATTCTTTTTTCAATAATATATTGCTAGCAATATTTTTTTTATTTTTTTTTTTAAAGATGTATTCATGGTAATATTCTGTTTTTCAATAATATATTGCTGGTAATATTTATTTTTCAGAAATATATTGCTGGTAATAGTTTTATTTTAAGTAGATTGCGGTTATTTTATTATAACAAATCTAATTTTATACTTTCATAGCGTTTTGACCCCAGTTTCGGGTTAACTATTTGCCCATAGTTTGGAACCTAATAAGTGCTACCACCTTTGTTCATGGTTTACCTGGGAACAACAGCAATTAAGTGACGGATCAGTTTCTCAATACCTCCTGATCAATGGCCTTACTGCCGGATATAGTTTATCGTCATACCGAGGACGATTGGCTTTTAGATATTAGTTCAAAGATTTTTCAAAGGCTGTTTTAACAAATCGTGTCGTTTTCGGTTTCTTAATATAAACTTGGATTCTTTTGTCTGACAGTTTACTTCCCTAAAGATGCGAGTTTCACATGCAGAACTCTAAGATTAAATGTAAGGCTGGACAAAGAAATCTTCGAAAACACCCACTGCAAGAAATAAGTAAAATCAGCTTGATATTTGCAAGGAGGTTTTTGCTGTAGACAATGGACTCTGCGATCTTATGCGACCGACTCGGACAAAGAATCTTGGAGATGAGCGCGTGCCGCAGAACCTGATATACCGTCCGATTGTATAAGGTCATTTGTCCGCCTTTTCATGGAATGATATTTCGTGCACTTGGGCGCCATTTTTCGTCTAGCGCATTGGAAGAAAGAGAGAGAAAAAAACGGGCCATTGAAGAAGGACGTGGATACCCAAGGCGCTGAACGTGTTTTTATCAAGTGAAACGTGCTTGTCGGTATTGGACAAATATCCTTTTCACATTACTTTGTATATTACTTACATCAATGTACATATATCAACATCAATGTAAGTATACAATGCATGTTACAGTATATATAATATATATATATATATATATATATATATATATATATATATATATATATATATATATATGCAGAGAGAGAGGCATGAGTGCACTGAAAGGTATACACTCTTACCCACTTTTCAAAATATGACTATTTGACAAATATCTGATTTGTTTTGATGGGGGAGGGGAGACTTCTTGGCTGTATATGTATAATTTCACACCACAAGCGTTCTTTAGCTTGTCTTTGTCTAAAAAGATATATCTCCAATATTGATAATCTGTCCTCACCAAACATAGCCAATACACCCACACCGTGTATATAAAATTATGCATATACCCCAACCGCTAACGCACGCAAACACACATATACATACATATATATATATATATATATATATATATATATATATATATATATATATATATATATTGAGGATATTGTGGCACGTAGTGCACCAGGTCTCTGTATTCGGCCCTTCAAAAGTTTGGATGATCATGCACGAAACCTTCAACACTATAATCAAATCTCTTGTCCTGTTGTCGGGCTATCGGTTTCCTAGGAACTGATCTACTTGACCCTCATACGTAGAATTCGACGAGAGAGTCGTATATATATATATATATATATATATATATATATATATATATATATATATATATATGAACATATGCAAATTTAAAAGCATGAATGTATGTAGCATATTTGGTCTAATGCTCTTTGCTCTTACCATATATCGTGAGATACTTGCCAAAATTCGTAGAAGGTTTATGATTTGGCATCTCGGCTTCAACACATTTCTCATCGACCTGCTGTTGCCTCTCTCTGTGTTTTCTACAAATATTTTCATGGCTACTGTTCTGATGGACTTTCCTCCCTGGTTGCACGGCTGCAGGAATTTAACAGGACTAGAGTTTGCCAACTCGGTCTCAAATTTTTAATCTTGACTGCGCAAGAAGAAACCGTCTTTTCTATTCGAATCGTTTTTTTTCTCACACTTCTCGTCAGTGGAAATCCCTTCAGATTTCTTGCTTCCAAACCTGAAGCAATCATTAATCATCTGAATGTGCCGTCTATTGCTTCATATCATTTTATTGGCTTTTCTCCTCACTTCTACTCACTAAATTCGTCTTATTCGCTTTCAATCCCTGTAAACATTCTGCTGCCATTATCACCTTTAAAAAAAAAACCAAAAAAAAAAACCAAAAAAAAAACCTATTGTAACATAACTTATTAAAGATATCGTCTATATGAGCATCAAAATGGTACCCGACTTTTGTACATCTCTATACACCTTCAAGTATGTACATCCGTTCAAGGTTTTATATATGTAATATACATGAATTCATCTCCTATTTCAATGCGAGATGAAACAAAATACAATTATCATTATTATTTATCAATTATAAACTTTCGCTAAGCAAAATATCTTTGTTCATGTTTCTTTTTACCAAATTTGATGCACAAGAAAAACAAGCTTTTGCCCCATCTCGTCCCACTATCTTGAGCCTGAGACCCACGTGTTCCCCTCTCAATAGCTGTCTTTATATAATCGACTCTCCCGTCGCGTTCGAGGGTCAGGCCGATAAGTCCCTAGGAAACCGACATCCCGACACCGGCACATGAGATTTGATTATAGTGGTGAAGGCCTCGTGCAGGACCAGACACACTTTTTGGAGGGACGAATACAGAAACCTGGTGCACCGAATGCATGCCACAAGGTTCCCAAACGACCATCCGCAGGTTTTGAATTCAGAGTTGTCCTTCTCCTAGACCAGTTGCCAGGCTATAGAACCCAGTCTGTCCTGCTATTTTACCCATAGCTGGAGGGAGATGAAGAGGATACATACCTTTCCCAAGGGTAATGGATTCGACTGGAATTCGAACTCGGCTCTGCGATTCCTCAATCCAAGCCGCTATCCACTACTCCACCGTGCCTCCTCTCAAATATATATATATGTATATGTTGTTGAACTCCGCATGACTTACTAGCACGTTTTAACGATTCGATGTCAGCGTATCACTTAAGTTTTCGTCACAACGTCTGAAACAAAACATTGCGCTGGTATTTTGATTTGTGTTTTCTCCAACTCAGAGATTTCGTGATTTGACTGAAATAAATGATTTCAGGAGATGGCATCGTCTTCACTCAATTATTCCATGGTATTTGATCAACCAGATTTTGTTAGACGAAACCGCTCAATTTTTTTTTTTTTTTTAATTTAATTTATTTATTATGTTTTTTTTTTTTACTTGGAGAAAGATCAGTATTTACTGATATGAATGTCTGTTAAACGTTACTCATTTAATTGGAATAACTCTCTATCAATATTTTCATGTTAATTGTTCTGATGAAATTTCCTCTATGGTAGGAAGATATTATGAATTTAAACACAATAATAGATTTTCAGCAAGGTCATATCATTTTACAGCTGAAATGTCTACATATGTTCTGTGATATTTTCTTCTATCGTATTTCTTGTGAAACAATCTTCTGGATTATTGCTTCACAGTCAACTTTGCTATTCAAAAATGTAAATGCAATGAAAATCGTGTCTTGCCAGACTGATTTTCTCATCAGAATATTTATTGAACATTTATATATCTGCCATTCCTCCGTGCATTGAATATTTCTATCACATTTGGTCTGGTGTGTCACTATATATCTACGCTGGGAATGCCGTTAATATCAAGAAAACCCGGAAGAAAAGCGGACGGTCTATACGCGCCCACACTACTATATGCATACACAGATACATATACAGGCACATAGAGAAACGCACACACACATACACACACACTTGCACAGACACACACACACAGAGTATTTATTCATCCTCTCTAAACACTGAATGAGAATTGATAAGTCAGCGATGGTTTCAAGCACGTGTTTCGGTTTTAGGTTTTAAAAATCTTCTTGGTTCATTGTCTTCTGCCTCCCTCATTATCTTTGATATTTTTTTTTAAAAATTAATGTTGACTGTTTGTGTTTTAATCCTTTTGCAATATTTAAGCGTTAATAGTGATGATGATGATGATGATGATGATGATGATGATGATGATGATGATGATCTTTTATTAAACAACGTGATAATAAAGCAGGCGGTAAACATTGAGAAAACGTTTTTCGAATTGCTATAATCACTCGGGTTTTGTCTTTTTTACGGAAATGAATTTCCAATTAATTTTCCTATGCAATAAGATCTATTTCTTTCTTTTTCACTCATTCACCTCCCGCCTTTACTTACTCATTAAATCCTTATCTATCTATCTATCTATCTATCTATCTATCTATCTATCTATCTATCTATCTATCTACAGCAGTATGTTTCCCGCCATTCTCCTTGGAATTACCTTTTACACCCGTATTCATCAAAAGCAGAAAGTAACCTAAAATATAGGACACTCACACATACGCTAACACAGATACATTCACGCGTGTACACACACACATATATATATATATATATATATATATATATATATATATATATATATACCATAATTCTCTGAACGATCGTCCTCAGGAATCCAATATTGCCCTTTTCCTAGTTTTCTTGACAAACAAAGCGTAATTGCTTGGACTTAATTGCTTATACCATAGCTAGTGGGTAGATTGAGAGAAGCATCCCTCCATTTTCAAAGGGTTTTTTTACCTATGGGTAAATATAACGAACTCGACTGGATATCGAACTCAGCGTTCGATTTCTCCTTCCTGCTATTCATTACATCAGTAGCACACATCTTTCCCCCCCCCTCTCTCTCTCTCTCTCTATATATATATATATATATATATATATATATACACACACACACACATATATATATATATATATATATATATATATATATATATATATATATATATATGTATGTATGTATATATTTTGCATTTTATATATATATATATTTATGCATGTATATATATATATATATATATATATATATATACACACACACACACACACACACACACACACACATATATATATATATATATATATATATATATATATATATATATATATATATGTATATATATATCCTTTTGGGAAAAAGGAAAACAATTCTAATCCATATTTTAAAGAAAATCATCCTATGAATGATTTTATTATTTTATCGTTTCAACGACAAAAGTTAAATATACACAATTCTTTATTAATTTTAATTTCAATTGCTTTCCTATCACTACTGCTTAGACCGTCATGAATAGCAATGGTTTGACTACTGTATAATAACTCAACGAGACGCGATATAGCCTGCCTTTTGAAATAGCAAGTCTGTATATTTGGCATAAAATTTCGTATAAGCGAAAATATATTTGATACACTGTAAAGATTTTGTAGATGGTTGAAAGTGGTTGTGTAGGTTTTCGCTGATGCAAAACGACATTTTCATCGCTGCATGTGTCTGTATGCGTCTATCCGTGCTGAAGACGTACGCTTTGTGCAAAATGTTATCTGCTTGGCTAAATCTATGGATTGCACAATTAAGTGTAAAATTATAAATTCTGACTTTAAAAAAATCTCCCAAGAAAAAAAAAAGCTGATAATTTTAATCATTACTAAAGTGAGAAGAAGAAGAAGAAGAAGAAGAAGAAGAAGAAGAAGAAGAAGAAGAAGAAGAAGAAGAAGAAGAAGAAGCACAATGACTATTTTAATAGGGGAGAAAAAAAAGTTCTACTCGACTGATAACACAAATGAAACCGTAAAATATCATATGAAACCAAATTAGAAATTTTTAGAAAAGACGAACAAAGAAAACTACTTTGAGGTTTTCCATGTTGAAAGAAGCGAAAAAAAAATGTTAATGGATGACTAAGTTGTATCGTGGCAGTTGATGGGTCTCGTGGCTAAGATAATGATCAACGTTCGAGCTCAGGAAACACCGCGAGAACGAATGAGGATTTTCTTAGAAGGAAGCCAAGCTCTTTCCTCTTTGAAGATTAATGCAATATAATTTTTCTAATCTGATTATGTCTCGACATTGTGCTAGAGAAAGATAATCTTATTTTGGATGTTTTGAATAACGGAAGCATGCGTAACCATTTCCCTATTCTCTCTCTCTCTCTCTCTCTCTTTCTATATATATATATATATATATATATATATATATATATATAGATAGATAGAGAGAGAGATAGAGAGAGAGAGAGAGAAGCGAGAGAGAGAGAGAGACAGACAGACAGACAGAGACGTGGCCGAGCGGTTAAAACGTTCGTATTCTGACAATGAGTCCCGGGTTTCAATTCCAATCTCACCACAGGGAAGTTATCCTGATGTTATCGGACTGGGGTGTGGTTCCATCCCAGCGAGCGGCACCTTTAGAAAGTGTCTGAAAACCAATCCACGGGTCGAGCCAAGCCTTGTGAGTGAAATTGTGTAGACGAAACTATTGGGTGCTAGCACGAAGTCATCGTGGCCGAGGGCTTGAGTGTACTCTCCTTGTTCAAATTGTAACATGCTCTTTCCCAGAAACTGTTGACTCTGTGGGTGTTGAATAAACACAAATGCGCCTGAGAAAGCGTCTGTAATAGGGATGGGCTACCCGCCCTACTAGACAGATATCCTCGAACACGTGGCCAGCTATCCACAATGCACACACACAGACAGATATATATATATATATATATATATATATATATATATATATATATATATATATATATATATATATATATTCATAGTCCAAGTGTTTCATTCTTAAGGCTGGCCAGAAGAATGGTTTCAGATATGAATCAGACGGTCGCCACTGGTGTTGTCCCCAGTTTCCACTTTTATTATTTTTTAAACACGCTCTCTATCCCTAATCTTGCGAACTCTTGCCTATAATTAACAAAAGATCAAAAGTCTTGATGTTGAAAATACTTCGAGGGAGCACTGATAAAAATATTACCAACTATAAATACACGACAAAAAACATTATATTACATCACCAACTTTTATGAAATTCATTCCTAAAGAATTTAACGTATATTTAACTACCGTTACAAAAATATCGCCAAACCAACATGTGGACTAACTCAAATCATAATTAATGCCTACGACACAATAACTCACCCACACGCACACATACAGTCGCATTTGAGGATATTCATTATAATCCTGATCCCGTAAAGAAAAACTAGAGTTATGATACACTTTCTTTCCATGCTTACAGTTAATTTTGGAACGAACACACACACTCACACACACATATACACACAAGCACGCAAACGCACACACTCTCTCTCTGGAACAAAACCTACTCTTGTGAAATTCTATTACCTTTTCTGATGATGGACCATATTGGTGAACTATGTCAAAATAGATGCTTTACATGCTCTCTCTCCGTTGTCGTGCGATGAAAAAAAGGTATGGAAAAAGTTCGAATTCCATTGGAAACGTTTGCATTTACTTTAGCGCGAATTACGCCTTGGAAAAGGTATGAATCATTCACAGATATGGTTTAAAAAGCGGGACATATTCCTATAGCCTTGGTTAACAACCTGCGTCTACCACAGAATAATGGCAACCTACAGCAGGAAAATGTTATTTGTCAGTCATGAATCGAAAGTGTAGCATGTATGGCAGTTACCTGACCGGCTGGTTTTTGAAATCTAATTAATATTTCACCCGCCAGTAGTTTACAATCGCCTGAAGAGACACAATTATGGTGTTGAAACATTGTTTGTAATTCTGTATCGTTTCTCTTATAAAATGTCTTATTATCTTAGCGTAAAAAATATATATATATATATATATATATATATATATATATATATATATATATATATATATATATATATATATATGTGTGGCTGGTCCTGCACAAGGCTTTCACCACTATAAACAAATCTCATGTGCCGGTGTCGGGATGTTGGTTTCCTGGGGACTTATCGGCCTGACCCTCATACGTCGAACGCGACAGGAGAGTCGATTATATATATATATATATATATATATATATATATATATATATATATATATATATATATTATAAATTAATTGATTTAAAATATGGTTTTCGCTACACAGTTCTATATCTTGCTGTTCTTTCTTTATTTTTATATTATATATATATATATATATATATATATATATATATATATATATATATATTCACGGAGAAAGTTTTCGTACTGATAAAATGAATAGCTCGGTGTTCATGAAATAAAATTCTAAACGAAATGGATAATTAAAATATCCTTCTTCTTCTTATCATATATATATATATATATATATATATATATATATATATATATATATATATATATATATATATATATATATATAAAGAAAGAAAGAACAGATGATGTTAGAACGCACAGTTCTTAGCATTTACTTTTTTAAAAGTGCTCAATACAAACGTAGAAAAAAATATAATATTACTAAAATAATTTTCTTTCAATAGATTAGATAAAACATTTTACATGGCTACACAGAACTTTCATGTTTCTGAACTTAAATCTTTCCACAGTTTTTTATTGTAATCTATTATAATACATATATATATATATATATATATATATGTGTGTGTGTGTGTGTGTGTGTGTGTGTGTGTGTGTGTGTAATGTTAGTATGTGCATGTTTCATAGCTTCCGGCCTTTTTGTTTTGGTGTTAAAATCTCCTGTAAAATGTATTAGATTTCTATTAATTAGAACAAAAACTAGTGATCTAATTAAATAGGTGCCACAGTTTTTCGAAATGTTTTCAATATGTGCACTTCCAGATGTAATAAAAAAAATATAAAAAAATCTTTCTGTGTGGGAAGAGAAACTATTTTTGCGGCCTATTTAGCCAGCTGACAAAAAAAAATCAGCCTTGCGTATTTTTAATGTTCTGTTGCAACATTTTCATAAAAATTAATCGGCAAACCCACATTTTAATGATGACACTGATGTTTCTCATTAAAGCGTGATTCTCAACACGTTGCATCGACAAAATGGTTTCCTTATCACTTTTGGCTTTCACCGAATCATAATATTGAGTTGACCAGAAAGTCCTGATTATGTCTGGAAATAGAAAGAACACACAATTTTATGGAGCAACACCTACATTTATTCGACGTAATAAAGTCAATCATTCTCGATGATTTTCTGCCAGCGATCAGCCAGCATGCGAATCTGTTCCAGATACCGGCCCTTTAGCTTTGAATAATAATAATAATAATAATAATAATAATAATAATAATAAACTGTAAACAAGCTTCCGTCACTTCATCAAATGTGTTAGATATCTGATCGCAGAGGAAGTGTGCCATTGAGCGGAATAGGCCATAGTCACTTGGAGCAGCATTGGGACTGAATGGTGGATGTGGAAGAATCTTGTCCATCTGTTTGAACTTTTCTTACTCACTCTGGCTGTGTGTGACCTCACATCGTCTTGCTGAAAGAACGCGCGACCTTGATTGAC